GGGCTCGGGGGCGGCTTGTGGGGAAGGCTGGGGCGGGAGGAGGTCGGGGGCGGCTTGTGGGGACGGCTGGGGCGGGAGGAGGTCGGGGAATAGTTTGGGGAAAGGGATGCAGTGGCGGAGGGCGGTGACCTGCTCTGGGGCGCGTCAGGTGAGCTCCACGTCTGCACTAATGTCCATTTTTAGGGTCTGAGGTTTCAGTGAACGTAAATTCCTGGCTCTTTTTTGGCGTTCTTCTTCCCGTAAATTTCTCTGGTCTCTCTGTCTTCGGCCGCTGACTGGTGTGATGCAGGAACTTGCCTGAGAGTGCTGCTGGGGAGATGCCCAGCCACAGCTTCTCTAACGTTCTGCTGCACAGAAGGCGAGGCGTGCAGCCTCGCACCTGAAAACGAGGTGCATGAAGAAATGGATTTAAGATGTGATGGAAAAAAAAAAAATCGTAGTTACTGTTCTATGCAGGGTACAGAGTTTGTGACAATGTGCGGTCCTGTTCCGTTTCCTTTTAATGTCTAGGCATCAGAAAATTCAGATTCTGGCCGGTTTGCGGAGTTGGTGACAGCGTGGTGCTGATAACACCAGGGTTCAGGGTTACCAGCCAGAGGCCGGAGGAAAATGCAAATTCTGTCAGCCATGGCCTATAAAACTGAGTGCTCGATTCTGATTAATTTATCCTTTGCTGGTTCTTTTTTGTTGTTATTTTTTTTGAGGGGGCAGCTGGCTGGTATGGGGACCTGAAACCTGACCTTGGTTTTACAAGGCTGTGCTCTATCTAACCAGCTGAGCTAACAGCCCCTTCAATTCTGATTAATTTACAGTTTGTTATTGGGAGGATAATAGTTAACTGATATCCATTTCTGGAAGGAATAAGCGGTTTGCAGTCATCTAAAACCATGAAGAGTGCCTTAGAATGCCTGCCCCTCCCCTACCTTGAACACAGGATGAATGTAGTGCTTCCGCTGTATTCTTATTCAGATACTGGGAGGAGGAATCTGTGCAACGTTTAAATTGTATTTCATTTATTTATTTTGGGCTGCTGGGCCAGTGCAGGTAAGTTTTCAATGATGGTGTGAAGCAAGTATAGTACTGGGGTGGGTGCTCAGGCCTGAGCCCTCTGATTCTAAGCCAGGTCCACAGCTGAGCCTGCAAAGGAGATTAATGAAGGGACTGGGGGTCTTGCTGGGGAGCTTCCCCTGCGGGGACCTCCAACCACTCAGAGCAACCCACAGAAGGAACTGCTAGGCTGAGAGAAGCTTCAGAGCATTGCAAGCTGTGCTAGGGGCCGTTTTGTCTTTGAGATTATACTTTGTGGTGGCCCTGGGACTGTTTCCTGAGGGTTTGGTTTGGGCAGGAACGCAGTTGGTGTAGTCAGAGCATAATTTGTGCAAACTGAGAAATTCTGTGAAGGTCAGACTTACGGAAAGACTACTTGGGTTCCACTGCTATTGAACAGATTTATGAATTGAAGAATTTGAGTCAGAACTTAAACTGAGTCCACCTGAGAGTTTCCTGGCTGGTGAGAACTGAGGCCCTGGAGGAGAGACAGGAGGTTGTGGGGAACAACCAGAGACAGGTGCCCTGGGTGCTCAGGGTCCCTCACTCCTGTTGAAGCAAAATACTTCATTCTGTAAGGGAATTTAAATGAGGCATTTATTAGATTTGCAAATCGGGGAGACCACCTCCCAGGCTTAGATGTGAGTCTGCCCAACACACAGAAAAGGCGAGGGGTTTTATAGTGTAAGTTTAGTAAAGTCTAAGCCATAAACAAATTCCAAACTTGTAAAGATGGAATGGATAACTGACTATGACCTTTTAAATAATGGTTTCTCAGGTCTTTTACAATATTTATGGCTAATCTAGACTAACTATAATCTAGACTGCTCAACTTGTAAGTAATTCCAATTTGTTTAATATACAGCAGGTTAACAGTCATCCCATTTTCCCAGGATCTCTCTAAACAGTGTCATCTATGTTTACCTAAGCAATGGGTTTCTTGGTGATAAATTCCAAGAGTAAATGCCAAGCAGTAAATTCTAATGGAAGGTCAGCTTCTTGGGCTAGACAAGAACAGTTCAATTAAGTTCAAAAAAATTGAGTCTCTGTGGTTCGTTTTTTGTTTTTTCTTTTTTTCTCCTTTCCTGGCCTCTTTTCTTCATCTCTCCTTCCCTAGGAGTGGCCCGCTGGGGTGCATCTCAGCAAATAGAGTCTGTCCCCCAAGCTAGGGTAAGCATTTAACATTCTTTGTTGTTACGGTTGTTTGGCTTTTATGGTTTAACCTTCTGATGTGGGGTTTTCTTGTGCATGGTGGGTGAAGCTGGCTGCTGATCTGAGCTGGAGTAAATGCTTGCTTCTCTACTTTATTTCCTTTATAGAATCTTGCTGCCATGTAAATGCCCTTTTTCAGGCTCAGGGAGTGCCCTTTGATTCTTAGTTTGTCAGCTGTTTTGATCATGAAAGGGTGCTGAATTCTGTAAAATGCTTTTTCTGCATCAGTTGTCTCATGTGGTGTTTATCACGTGAATGTGTTTTACATTGATTGATGTTTCTACATTGAGTCACCCTTGCATTTGTAGGTGCCAAAGGAAAACTTCACCTGTAAGAGTTCATTAATAAAAATCAGTGACAAATTTAGATCAATAAGAAGCAAAGGCATAACAGATTTTTATTATTTAATGTGCTGCTATTTATTTGAGAAAAGCACAGAGGAATCACCAGACAGTAAAGTCCCAATTTTCCATTGGGCTACAGAGCTTGTATACCCCATCTCCTTAGGGAAAGGGGAGGTGGGGGTGTAGGAGTAAATGATTCTTAGGGGGACACAATGGGCTTGGAGAACATGCAGTGGCTCAGGGTAAAGCCTATTTGGCCTGCAGAACAGTGACTGGTAAATGATTTTCTTTAAAATACTGAAGAGGACCAAAATATAAGACAGTAGTCTGTGACAAAAGTTAGTCCAGGTGTGTTGACAGACTTTAGTTTTCCTTCCTGTGATATGAGTTCAATTAATGAAATCTCAGGGAAAGGACCAGAGGTAATTCTCTTCTTCGGTGGGTCCAGACTTTAGGCAAATAAGGGAACCAGCTTCATTCTGTGCCTTGGAGAGTGAGAGAGGATTGAGAGACAGGAGGTGGGAAGGAGGTCAGAGAGACCTTGAGTCTGCTTTTTTATTTCTGCATGTCAGAGCACTGCTCTATACATGCAGGTATGTTCAGCAGTTTCTTCCTTTCCATTGGTCTGTTTGTCTTCTGATACCATTCTATTGCTATCCCTGTAATTTTAAAATCCTTGCTGTATGTTAAGCAAACTCTTCCCTAAGAAGCTTTGCTAGGACACACAGGAGTCCACGTATACGACTACTTGTGGGTATCACTTATCACTGGGAGAGGATACAAAACAGAACAGCAAATGGGAAAGGAGCATGGGCCTAATTCTGAAGGAAACAAAGTGCAGCTTCCGTCAGTGTTGCCTGTGAAGTCACACAGGACAAGTGCCTCGGTCTGTTTGTATTTCTGTAACGAAATACCTGAGAGTAGGTAACTTAAAAACAACAGAAATTTATTTGTCACAATTCTGGAGACTGGAAGTCCAAAGATCAAGGTGCTTGGCTGGTTTGGTGTCTGATGGAGGACGAGGTCTCTGCTGCCAAGGAGGCACCTCGTTGCTGCACTGTGTCCTCACACAGCAGAAGGGCAGAAGGCACTACCTGGTGCCCTCTGGCCTTTTTATAAGGTCACTGATCCCATTCATGAGGGCTCTTCCCTCATGACTGAATCTTCTAAAGGCTCCACCTCTTAATCCTATCACACTGAGGATTAAGTTTCAACATTTATTTTGGGGACACATGCAGAGGAAAGCAAGGAGTCTGTTTCCTCCAGCAATCAGTTCTTATAGCATGTGTGAAGTGTTGTCTATCAGGAAAGCTCTTTGGAGACTGTGCCCAAGGATTTTACTGGGGGTTGATCACATTGGCACTTTTGCCTAGGACATACCTGAATTCCAGACTCAGAAGGAAAGCATAAACCATATTTTATGCATAAACAGTTCAGGAACAGTGAGCCATCCCATTCTTTTCTCTCCGGCTTTTCAGTCAAAAATTTACCTCCGCTGGGCTGGCCTGTGGCTCACTTGGGAGAATGTGGTGCTGATGACACCAAGGCCACAGGTTTGGATCCGTATATAGGGACGGCCGATTAGCTCACTTGGTTTTTTTGTTTGTTTGTTTTATTTTTTATTTATTATTTTTTTTTTTTGTCTTTTTTCCGTGTCCGGCAACGGATCGCAACCCTCAGTGTCGCCCCCGTACCGGACCGGGACCGGCAACGGGATCGCAACCCTCGGCGTTGCCCCCGCGCATCGCTCAGCCAGTGAGCGGGAACCGGTCTGTATGTGGGATCCGAACCCCCGCGGGAGCGCCGCCACGCTTCCCAAGCGGCGCACTAGCGCAGTGTGCCACTGGGCTGGCCTGTTTGTTTGTTTTAAAGATGACCGGTAAGGGGATTTTAACCCTTGACTTGGTGTTGTCAGCACCACGCTCACCCAAGTGAGCTAACCAGCCATCCCTATATAGGGATCCAAACCCACGGCCTTGGTGTTATCAGCATGGCACTCTCCCAAATGAGCCACGGGCTGGCCCTGTGGTTGGCTCACTTTGGAGAGCGTGGTGCTGACAACACCAAGTCAAGGGTTAAAATCCCCTTACCGGTCATCTTTTTTTTTTTTTTTGTCTTTTGTCTTTTTTCCGTATCCGGCAACGGATCGCAACCCTCAGTGTTGCCCCCGTACCGGACCGGGGACCGGCAACGGGATTGCAACCCTCAGCGCTGCTCCCGCGCCTCGCTCAACCAGTGAGCGGGAACCGGTCTGTATGTGGGATCCGAACCCTCAGGCGGGAGCGCCGCCGCGCTTCCTAAGCGGCGCACTATCCAGTGCGCCACCGGGCCGGCCCCTTACCGGTCATCTTTAAAAAAAAAAAAAAAAAAAAAAAAATTTACCTCTGCTTCTTAGGGTTTTTTGGCTAGGCCTGAGAATTAAGTTCACATAAAACATGAGACAGGTGTATCAATTTAACTCAAGTTGTACATGGTATGGAAACCTTCGTAAAGAAATGAAGACCCAATGGCACAGAGTTGAACACTTATAAACTGAATTGGACAAAGAGGAGTAAGTTGTGAAGAAGTAAATATACTACACGGTGAGGCTAAAACAAGATAAAAGTTTGTTAAACTGGGTCTGTACAGGATTTCCTCAGTCTCACCTTCCTATGCTTGGTGATAAGAATTTTACTTTTTTCCCCAGTACCAGGAGGGCATCTTTCACATGGGAATTTCATCTTGATCTTCAGTGTACTGTTTTTCAAGTCCCTCTAATTCAAGATAGTAGATAGTCAGTACATCATATTGGCATATTTTGGAGCGGCATATTTTTAATTCCTTCATCGTGAAGGACCAACTTTGCAAGCAGGCCTTCCTAAGGACAAGCAGTATCAGGCCTGTTGTGTTAGTGCTTTCCTGCACATTTGGTAGTGGAACTTTGTTACAAGAATGCACTACAGGTGTGCTGTACCAAGAGTAATAAGGGCTGACCCAGCAGCTCATCCTACTCCCACAACAGTAAAAAAAGGGTATTTGTGTTAAGCTGCTACTCTATTCACATATAAATACATGAATTCACAGCATGAGAATTGCCATGTGGAAACGTTTTTCTGTTCCCTGCATGTGGACGTCAGTGGGCTGATGATCTTGTTCCAAGACCAGGGTTTAGGGGAATCATGCAGCTCAGTGTCTTCCTATGCCCAGGGTTTAGGCTGTCATGCTACTGTGCCCAAGAGGGCACTGGAAAAGAGAGAAGAAGGGAGTTCTGCTTATAGAGTAGGATTTGGGGATCACTTCCTCTTGTAATTTGTGAAAGGAGTACAAATGTTCTTTAGGAAGAAATTACTGCTGAACTTATTCTTTGTTTTAAAATCATGGGACAAGTCACAGTCAAACTGTTTTGGACTTCAGTGAACTCCCTCACACACTGGAACTCTGTACCTGTTCCTCAAGGTCAGCAAGGCCCAGAGCAGTCTTATATCTCTAGTGGGAAGAGCTCTTCAGGCATCTTATAATCTCAGTGTGTGTATGCTATGAAATCTTTGACGATGTGAGAGCAGAAAGAGAAGTCTGATGACCAGATCATAAATCCAATTTCAGGAGAGCATAGGATCTGTGTGCACTTCCTAGAAGGAAAGTCTTTCCTATGCTGACAGTTTCACCCACTTTTTTCATACATTTGGGATATTTTAGAACTCAGTGGTCTTTGAGGATGTGGCTCTGCACTTCACTCTGGAGGAATGGGCTTTGCTGGATTCTGCTCAGAGGAACCTCTACAAAGATGTGATGCAGGAAACTTTCAGGAACCTGGACTCAGTAGGTAAGGACGGCCTCATTCCTTATTTAGTGAACTAGTATTTCTTACTCATCAATGCTGTCTCAGATTTGCAATGTGGAAATGGAGTATATTGGTAAATAGGATGGCTTCGTGGACCTAGAATCTAATCCTTTTTCTGTGACAATGGAAATCCATATTTTAAACTTTTTTTTTTCTGGCTTTCTCTGAAAGACTTGAAGCTGCTGCCCTTTTTTTTTTTTTTTTTTTAAAGATGACCAGTAGGGGATCTTAACCCTTGCCTTGGTGTTGTCAGCACCACGCTCTCCCAAGTGAGCAAACCAGCCGTCCCTGTATAGGGATCCGAACCCATGGCCTTGTCAGCACCATGCTCAGCCAGTGAGTGAACCGGCCATCCATATATAGGATCCGAACCCGCGGCCTCAGCGCTACCAGCACCACACTCTCACGAGTAAGCCACGGGCCGGCCCAAGACTTGAAGCTTCTTAGGATCATCAGAGTGTATATACACTTCATGGGCCATTTTGGGTCACAGAGAGGTAATTGTTTGAAACCTTGTGATAATTTTAGGGATTTGTCTACTCTTTTGGCTCCTTATACCGGTAACTGATGAAGTCCTCAAACAACAAAACACCTGAACAATTTTTTTACTCATAGGTGACTTATTCCTTCAAAGTTTTGTTCAAATTCTCTTGTCACAGAAGACTCACTTTAAAGCTAGTGGGTCAGTTTCTCAGCAGGATATGTGTTAAGAAGAAATATCCAAGGAACATAAAATAGCAAAGTTCATAAGGACTAATTCCTGTGTCTATATTGTAGGGAAATATTGGAAAGACCACAGCATTGAAGATCAGCACAAAAACCAGAACAGACATCTGAGGTGAGTTCAACTCACAAAGGAAAGCAGTATCCCAGTACAGAATCATAGTATGTCATGAAATTAAACAAACAACACACAAAAGCCGTTTCACATTTGTTTATCCTCAGATAATTTTCACCCAAAATGTTCTTTCAACTGTGACACAGATATTCAGTGTTAAACACAATTAAATGAGGAAGCAATTTCAGGAAACCCCATACATAAGAAACACTGTTTTAGTAGCAACTGTAGTTGTGGCCTCCTCCCGAGCATTCCATTTATTCCACTTTCAATCAATTCATACAGGTAAGAAAACATATACTCTAACTGAAAGTGGTTACAATGACATTGCAATACTTAGTACTAAATATTAGATCATAAGTAAGCATACTGTTAATCATGTGGCTATCTTAGTTTTAACAGAAATCATATGGTGGAAAGGCTCTGTGAAAGTAATGAAGGTCATCAATATTCAGAAGGCTTCAGCCAGATTCCAAGCTTCAGGGGAATAAAATCATATGAATGCCATGAATGTGGAAGAGTCTTTCTGCATCATTCTTCCCTGAAGAGGCACATTGGATCTCACAGTAGGCCCAAAATAAATGAATATCAGGAATGTGAGCAGTCCTTCAGTTGTCCCTCATATTTAAGAATGCATGTGATAACTCACTGTGGAAAGAAAACCTGTGGATGTGAATTATGTGGGAAAGTCTTGACTCAATCCCAGTGCTTCACTCAGCATTACAAGACTCACTTTGCAGAGAAAACTCACAAGTGTAAATACAGTGGAAAAGTCTTCAGTGAGTTCTCAAGTCTTACTAGACATGTAACTACTCACACTAAAAAAAAGCCTTATACATGTAAGGAGTACGGTAAAGATTTCATTTATCCCTGGATTTTTAGAAAACATAAGATAACACACACTGGAAGAAAACCCTATGAATATAGACAATGTGGGAAGGCGTACAGTAGTGTCATGTCCTTACTAAGTCATGTAAGAACAACTCATAGTGGAGAAAATCCTTACAGATGTGAGCAGTGTGGGAAAGCTTTCAGTTGTTCCAGTCACTTACAATGCCACTTGAGAATTCACGTTGGAGAGAAACTCTACAAATGTAAGCAATGTGGGAAAGCCTTTCGTTTCTCTAGTTGCTTTCGAAGACATGAAAAGATTCACAATGAACAGAAACCCCACGAACCTAAGCAACGTGGAAAAGCCTTCCCATATGCTGTTTCTTTTCGGAGACATGAAAAGACTCATGCTGGCAAGAAACCCTATGAATGTCAGCAATGTTGGAAAACTTATAGTAGCATGAGTTCCTTACAATGTCATGTGAGAAGAACTCATAGTGGAGAGAATCCCTGTAAATGTGAACAATGTGGGAAAATTTTCAGTTGTTCTGCTTACTTGCAATATCGTGAGAATTCACACTGGAGAGAAACCCTATGAATGTAAGCGATGCGGGAAAGCCTTTGGTTTTCCTAGTGTCCTTCGAAGACATGAAAAGACTCACAATGGAGAGAGGCCCTATGAATGTAGACAATGTGGGAAACTCTACAGTAGTGTCAGTTCCTTACAATGTCATGTGAGAAGAACTCATAATGGAGGGAACCCCTGTGAATGTAAGCAATGTGGGAAAGTTTTCAGTTGTTCTGCTTACTTGCAATATCATGTGAGAATTCACACTGGCGAGAAACCCTATGCATGTAAGCAATGCGGGAAAGCCTTTGGTTTTCCTAGTTCCCTTCGAAGACATGAAAAGACTCACACTGGAAGGTTTCCCTATGAATGTAAGCAATGTGGGAAAGCCTACAGGACATCCAGGAACTTAAAATATCATTTGAGAAGAAATCATAATGGAGAGAACCCCTATGAATGTCAGCAATGTAGGAAAGCTTTCAGGTGTTCCACTTACTTACAGTGTCACATGAGAACTCACACTGAAGAGAAACCATATGAATGTCAGCAGTGTGGGAAAGCCTTTCGTTTTTATAGTTCCTTTCAAAGCCATGAAAAGACTCACAATGGAGGGAAGCTCTATAAATGTAAGCAATGTGGGAAAGCCTTCAGTTTTTCTAGTTCCTTTCAAAGACATGAAAAGACCCAAAATGGTGAGAGGCCCTATGAATGTAGACAATGTGGGAAACTCTACAGTAGTGTCAATTCCTTACAATGTCATGTGAGAAGAACTCATAATGGAGGGAACCCCTGTGAATGTAAGCAATGTGGGAAAGCTTTCAGTTGTCCTAATTACTTGCAATACCATGTGAGAGTTCACACTGGAGAGAAACCATATGCATGTAAGCAATGTGGGAAAGCCTTCAGTTTTTTTAGTTCTTTTCGAAGACATGAAAAGGTTCACACTGGAGAGAAACCATATGCATGTAAGCAATGTGGGAAAGCCTTCAGTTTTCTTAGTTCTTTTCGAAGACATGAAAAGGTTCACACTGGCGAGAAACCCCATGAATGTAAGCAATGTGGGAAAGCCTTCAGATGCTCTACTGCCTTTCGACAACATGAAGAGACTCATGCTGGAAAGAAACCCTGTGAATGTCAGAAATGTGGAAAAGCCTACACTAGGGCCAGGAACTTACCATATCATTTGAGAACAAATCATAGTGGGAAGAATCTCTATAAATGTCAGCAGTGTGGGAAAGCCTTCCATTTTCGTAGTTCCTTCCAAAGGCCTGAAACGACTCACAATCGAGAGAAACCCTATGAATGCAAGCAATGTGGGAAAGACTTTAGTTTTTCTAGTGCCTTTCGAAGACATGAGCAGACTCACAATGGAGAGAGACGCTGTAAATGTCAGCAGTGTGGGAAAGCCTATAGTAGGGCGAGTGCCTTACGATGTCACATAAGAGCAACTCATAGTGGAGAGAATCCCTATGAATGTCAGCAATGTGGTAAAGCCTACAGTAGTGCCAGTTACTTCAACTATCATGTGAGAACAGCTCATGCTGGGTAGAGACCCTATGAGTGTAAGCAATGTGGGAAAACCTCCAGGTTTTTCAGTTTCCAAAGGCATGTAAAGACCACAGGGAAAGTATATGAATGTAAGCAGTGTGGTAAATCCTTTAGTGTCATAGCCTTTCAAAGACATCTGAACACACACACACACACTGGAGAGAAGTGATAAGTATAAGCAGTATGGGACAGCTTTCAGGTGGCCTTCTTAAGAGGGTACTTCAAAAACTTTATGGAAGGATTTGCGTTATCTTACAATTCTTTTTTTCCCCACCATCTTTTTGAAGTACCCTTTTATTTACAAAAATGTAAAGATGCACAATGGACACAAACCCTGTAAATGTGAAAAATGTGGGAAAACTTTTCAATTATAATAAATTCTTTTAAGGTCATAGGAGAAACCATGTTGGAGAAAAAGCCTGATGGAAATTAGTGTATAATGATCCAAAAAACTCACACCAGAAGAGAAATATAGTTACAAATTAGGTATTGCTTTATCAGCACATCAGTCTTAGATTGGACTTATAGGGAATGAGTTTAATTCTAAATTTTGGAAATAAACATTGGCAAGAGAAATAATTCTTCATGTGCACTTTGAGGAATACCACAGGAGTTTTAGTCAGCAGTGTATTTTTCTTATAGTGAAATTAATAAAATTTCTTTCTCTAATTTGAAGTTTGTTGAATTCATGAGTTATTTAGACTGCACAAGAGGTCTTCAAAAAGTTTATGGAAAGAGTATTCATGTTATGTCGCCTCTGCCCCAGGGTGATGGAGACACAAAAAGGATTACTCAAAACCCATTTCTTCTGAGCAGTGAGAAGCCCCAAAGGGGTTAATTTTCCAGGAACCCTAAATAGAGGCATTCCTCAGAAAATTAACATTGAACTAGGGTCTTCTTTCAGTATTTATTCTCCAGGCCAGAAAGTTACAGAAAAGGAACATAGGTGGTTACAAAAAGAACAGTAAGATAATTGTCATGGCAACAGTTATTAGGTTTAGTTGCACCAAGGACATCTGTCCTTGGAGCCAGCAATTTTGCTGTTACAATTTTTTATCTACAACAGAGACTTTAGCCTGGGGAAAGTTTCCTGTCTTTTGCAAGCTTAACATTTCTATGTGTAATTTTTAAAAAGTTAGGCTATACCTGAAACTACAGGGCTTTGGAAGCTAGGCCCTGTGAAATCCATTTGCTTTATTTTTTATTTATTTATTTTTTTAAAAGATGACTGGTAAGGGGATCTTAACCCTTGACTTGGTGTTGTCAGCACCACGCTCAGCCAGTGAGCGAACCGGCCATCCCTGTATAGGGATCTGAACCCGGGGCCTTGGTGTTATCAGCACCGCACTCTACCGAGTGAGCCACGGGCCGGCCCTCCATTTGCTTTATTAATATTAGTACACTCCACACTGTTATGTTTTAATTCAATTTTTTCTTGAGCTTTCTAGAAGTCCCTCATATTTTTACAATGTAAGTAGTGATTTTGTTTTATGTATTTTATGTATTCTGTAAGTAAGGAGACATTGAAAAATGTCACTTTGAAAATTGTTGGAATTTTTGTATTAATTGCCTAGTGTAGCAGGTACTGGGTATCACTTTCCCTTTTGGGGGTATTATCATGGGGGCCAGGATACAGCTCTCTGCCACATGGGGTTGGTATGAGAACAGTTCGCTATGCAGATTGCCTGTATGTGAGCCTGTGATAATATGTGCAAAATTGTGTGTGTTTGGGTCTGGTTATTCAACAAATACTAATTTCCTGTGTAACAGGCCCTCTAGTAGGTTCTGCATTGAACAAGTCACAGAGTCTGTAATTTTATAAGTTCTGGGAGGGTTCGTGTATCTGGTGTTCTCTGTGTCCTGGAAGGAGTGACACTGGGAGTCCAAGTTTCTTACTCCATGGTGTAGGTGTTTTTTGACTGTTTCCCAGTTGGTGTATCTTGAAACTGAAAGTCACATGAGGCCCAGTTGGACTTGTGAGTGAATTTAATGTTTAAAAGTCTGAATAGGGAGCTGGACAGTTAGCTCAGTTGGTTAGGGCACAGTGTTATAGCACCAAGATCAAGGGTTTGGATCCCATACTTGCCAGCAGCAAAAATAAAAATTAAAAAAATAGAAGGTTGGATATTTGCAATGTTAACTTTTTCCAGAATACATCAAAAAGTGGAAGCATCGGGCCGGCCCGGTGGCGCACTGTTATAGTGTGCCGCTTGGGAAGTGCGGTGGCGCTCCCGCCGAGGGTTCGGATCCCACATACAGACCGGCCGCTCACTGGCTGAGCGAGGGGCGGGAGCAACACCGAGGGTTGCGACCCCGTGGCCGGTCCCGGTCCGGTACGGGCGCGACACTGAGGGTTGCGATCCGTTGCCGGTCACGAAAAAAGACAAAAAGGGAAAAAAAAAAAAAATCACACAGTTTCTAAATTTTAGGCCGGCCCGTGGCTCACTCGGTAGAGTGCGGTGCTGATAACACCAAGGCCACGGGTTCGGATCCTATATAGGGATGGCCGGTTTGCTCACTGGCTGAGCGTGGTGCTGACAACACCAAGCCAAGGGTTGAGATCCCCTTACCGGTCATCTTTTTAAAAAAAAAAAAAAAAAAAAAAAAGTGGAAGCATTGCAAGTATTTTTTTAAGTTTATGTGGGCTGTAATATTTCAGAATGCTCAGTCCTAAATTAACAACACAGCATATGATGGCAGTTTAGCCCTCTTCATAGAATTTTCTCACCTCTGAATATCTTTTCAAATATATTGACTTTTTATTTCAGTTTTCCCACAGTAGCAGCACATCCACCAGATAAAAGGTTTTTTTTTTTTTTGGTTTTTTTTTAAGATGACCAGTAAGGGGATCTTTACCCTTGATTTGGTGTTGTCAGCACCACGCTCTCCCAAGTGAGCCACGGGCCAGCCTGATAAGAAACTCTCGAATGATAATTTTTGTAATAGTAAAATCAGAATTGATGCCATAACTGATCAGTGCAGTACATTGTTAAGTTTGAATTTATTCAGTATTTGAAAAATTAGTTTCATTTTGTCTCATTATTTTTGTAAGATTTTCATGTCAAACATTTCAATTCATAGTATTTTTATTGGAATAAATAAGTAAATGCATATAATTTCTGCATAAAAATTCTTGATTTCTAGTCAATCTCATTAAGGCCTTTCTGTGACTTACTGAAGCTTTCTTGACATGAGAGCTCATGATTTCTCCTTCAAAATAACATGGTTTTGTTTTGTTTCTGACAGTAACAATATGTGTAATCAACTGTATTAGTAAGCTTTTGCCTATTTATTCCAATGCTCATTGATCTGGGGGTCTGCTTGGGTAGATTGTTCCAAGTAGTGGGTCTCTAAGACCACTCTTTCTTTGCTTTGGCAAAAAATGTCAGCGTAGGTAACTCTGATCCAAGTGTGTCCATTATGTGGCTGAAAATTAATGGACGACAATCCCATAAGGGAATTTCCTCATGATGGATCATCTAAAGAAGAGAGGGAAATGATTTTCTGGTACATGTTTCAGGCCTTTCTGCCATATTTGCTCATGTTCCACTGGTTCAAGCAAGTCACATGGCTTGGCCTAAAGAGAAGGATGGCTGCACTCTGTCCATCATGAGGACATTGTTTTAGTCCGTTTTGTGTTGCTATAACAGAAATACCTGAGACTGGGTAATTTATAAGGAAAAGAGGTTTATTTGGCTTATGATTCTGGGACAGCTGCATCTGGCATGGGCCTCAGGCTGCTTCTACTCGTGGCGGAAAGTGGCAAGGGGTGGGCGGGTACAAGCAGATGCCATGGTGAGAGGAACTAGAGAAAGAGAAGGTGCCAGGGTCATTTCAAGCAACAAACTCTCGTGAGAACTGATAGAGCGAGAACTCAACTCATTAATCCCCCCTCTCCCAGGGAGAGCATCAATCCATTCATGAGGGATCCGCCCCATGACTCAATCAGTTTCCAGCACTGCCACATTGGAGATCAGATTTCCACATGAGTTTTGGAGGGGGACACATCCAAACTCCATCAAGTTTTGGAGGGGACGACACATCCAAACTCCATCAGACATTAACTAGGTTGTTTCACAGGGGACTGAAAACTATGGATTAATAAATAATGTCATCTGCCACACCATCTTCTATATTCTTGGAGAGTAGGGACTGCGTTATGTATCATGTAGAATCTAGCAAAAATTCCTTTTAATAGGGTGGGGAAGAAGATATAACAACTATACTTCCATGAAGTTGTTACAACAAGCAAACGCAAAGGACATTCTTGGGGGGGAGGGGAGAGAGGGAGGAGGGAGGGAGGTGTCGGTGACGGGCCATAATAATCATATACAGTGTATATTGACAAAATTAAAAAATAAATAAATAAATAAATAAATAAATAAAACACACACACACACAAAAAAAAATTCCTTTTAATAAATGGCCCTCCATATACAAAGTGGAGAGAATAGCATAATAAAAATTTTTCCATTTTCTCGCATCGATAATTTTTAATTTTCACCTCTACCTCACCTATTTCCCTCTCGACAGTTATAAAGAAATTCTCAGATATCTTATCCTTGGATATTTTATGATATACCTATTTCTTCAACATCATGACAATGACATTATCATACATATAGATGAACAATTATCGCTTAGTATATTAAATACATAGGCAGCACTCAATTTTCCTAATTGTCTCCAAAATTTTAAGGTTGGATTGTTTGAATCGGGATTTAAATAATCCTAGATTTGAATTTATTAATATTTATATCTGTTTAGTTTATATTTCCCTAATCGCACATTTTTCTTTATTTGTTGAATGTAACATCATGTAGGAAATTTCATGCAGTGAGGTATTTAATGCTGTTACCTGCTTTTATTTCACACCTCCTGTTTACTATATTTTCTTTAAGTTGCAATTTAAATCTAGAAATGTTACCATATCCAGGTGTGATTTGTCTCTACTGATTTTTCTCTGCATAATGTTTTTTTCTTTTGGAAGATGACCAGTAAGGGGATCTGAGCCAGTGACCTTGGTGTCATAAGGCTGCACTTTAACCAACCAGGCTAAATGGCCCACCCTTTCTCTGCATAATCTTGAAGATGCTTAGACAAACCTTTAATGCATAAATACTTTTTTTTGTCCTTTTTGAGGCCAGCCACACCACACTCAGCCAGTGAGTGCTGTGAGCGCACCGGTCATCCCTATATAGGATCTGAACCCACGGCGGGAGCGCTAATGCGCTCCCAGCACCGCACTCTCCCAAGTGAGCCACGGGCTCGGCCCAATGCATAAATACTTTTGAATATGTTTTTCAACATAACCAAAAGGTCATTATCACACCTGAAACAATCAAATATTCCTTAATATATTCAAATATATGAGTAGTCACTTTTCCTAAATTTCCAGAGGGATCTTATAAAATCCATACATTTCAATTTGTCAGAATGTCCTTTATCTGGTAAGGGTCTAGTATTCAGAATATATAAAGAACTCTTAATGAAACAACCTAGTTAAAAAGTGGTTAATGGTTGTTTCTCCAACGAAGATATATACAAAGTGTAAATAAGCAAATGAATGAAAGTTCCACATAACTGCTTGTTTTGGAAATTCAAATCAAAACAATGAGATATCATTTTATACCAACTACAATGGCTGTAATTTTTAAAAACTGAAAATGCCACAGTGCTCTCCTATAACAGTGCAGCAGCTGTACCCTACAGTAATCATTCCCTGTGTTCTTGTAAGGGTTTTATATTGGTTTGGTTTGTTGTTGCTCTTGCTGCTGCTTTGGGTTTGCTCTTTTTCTTTTTTTTTTTTAAGATTCAAGAGTTAGTTGTGACAGTTTTTGCCACGTTTTTAGTTGTTTTTGTGGAGGGAAAGAACGCTTGAGTTCCCTATTCTGCCTTTTTTCATGATGATGTCACACCAGAGGGATACTTACTGAATTTTTTTGCTAGATTCTTCTTACAATACATAAAAGAATCTCTGCCTTCAAATGTATTTAAATGGTGTGGTAGATTAAGTTATTGACCCTTATTTTTTGATCCCCTGTGAAATAATAGTTGTGTCCTCATGTTTGGCAGAGTGTAATTCTTCCCTTCATGTTGGCCATGGGACACTTGAGCCAATGGGATGAGAACCCATGTTATGGGAAAGAGGCCTAAATAGACATGTCCCGTTGGCTTGCATGTATTCCTCAGTGATCCATGTTAAGGAAACTTCCTTCAGGTGGCTGGTGTCCATTTGGCTTCAGCCTCAGTGCACTTAAGCAGAGGTGGGAAGCCTCAGGCCCTGAATGAACAGCTGGGTCAGAGCCACTTCAGCTGGCCCAAACTTTCTGCTGAAGAAAGCTGCCTTTGGGAACTTCCAAACCTGCTTGTCATAACCTACCCAAGCCAACCACTAGACCACGGAGCATGAGTCTTGCTTATTGCTGTGGTATGTAATAAGCAAAGGCTGATTAGGACAGTTGATATAATTCTTGTTCATGTTAGAAGAATGCCATCCCTGAGAACCCGTGTGTTCTCTTAGGACAGAGCTGCTCTGGTAAGACAGAAAGGAAAGACTCTAAGATGGACAAGGGATGAAGAAAATCTTGTAGGAACGGTTACAGGGTCTTTGCATTTCTTTGTTTTATTCAAATAAAATGATATGAATTTGAAGGGCCTGGAAAAAAATCTCACTAAAATAATGAGACAAAATAACACGCATTTTTCAAAGATTGCATAAAATCAAAATGAAAGCAGTCGTGCTTGTGCTGTTTTCACAGAGCAGTTTCTGGTGTTTTACTAAAAAACTAGTAAAGTAGAAGGTGGTGTGGGCATCGTTACAAGAGATCGACTGCAGAGATTGATTTTGGTATCAGTTGTGCTTTTACTTTACCAGTGATGAAATCCAGAATATTTTTGTCATGAAAATTGTCATTTAAATGTTTGCCTCGTCTGAATGTGTCCTTTAACACCAAGGTCAAGGGTGTGGATCCCCCTACTGGTGTGTGTGTGTGTGTGTACTTATGTATACACACATATATATGTATATTTGGAAAGAAACAAATATGAAAAAAAATTCTAGGAAGAGGCCTAAACTAATACCAAGGTATACAGCATGGTATTTAAGGGTATGCACTCTGAAATACTGGAGCTCATAAAAACATTTTAAAAATTGTGAAGCTTTCGTGTTTTGCTGTACTCATACTTGGGAATAATTTAATATAACTATTTGCCTGTTTAAGCAGAACACACGGGAAAATCCAGTTGGGCATATTGTGGCTCTGGGTTTCAGCGCCATGGACTATGAAATACACAGACACAGCACAGCCATGCACTGGGACACAGACACTGAGTCACTCCGGCCCAGACACAGGGACCACCGCTTAGACACTTGAACCCTCCCAGACATACACACGCAGCCACGATGACAAAGACAAGATCGCAGTCTTTGTGGGGACACCCAGGCACAGGCCCCCAAACACAGACACACCCTCTGAGGTCATGGCACCGGAGACTCTCAGGGACACGTCCACCAAGCATCGTCCCAGAGCCCCCACGGCAGCCCCCGCTCTGTCTTTCCCCGTGTCACCTGCCATCCGGTCCCGGAGAGCACCTGCTGCCGTCGGTGGAGGCCGGACACGCCACTTCCCAGACAGACGACCGCAGGCGGCTGCACTGCGGGCACGCGGCCTCCCTCACTTCCCGCCTCGCCCAGTCTCTGACCCCTCGTCCGTCTCCCTGGAAACCAGAGGCCCCGCCTCCGCCCATGTGTGGGCTCCACCCCGCGCACCGCAATCCCAGGAGGCTCAGGGGCGGCGTCGCAGGCGGCGGGGCGCGCTGCATGCCGGGAGGACCCTAGGGGGGTGGGCGGGCGTCTGCGTAGCCTCCGCCCAAGATGGCCGCTCCCGGGCGTGCGCATGCGCTGCGGCGGGCGGCCCTGAGGACCCCGGAGTGCGGGGTGAGGCGGGCGCTGAGGGCTGGAGCTCGCGGTGGGGCGGGCGAGGGCGGCCCAGCCTCGGGCATGAGGGGCTGCGGGGCCTCCCCGTGTCCGTGACGCGGGCTCTGCCGCCGCTGTCACTTACCTTACGGCCGGGCCGGGCGGCCACTGTTCCAACAGCAGGTGCAGCGGGGACCCCAGCGACGTCTCTGACCAGGAAGGCACAGGGCTGGACGTGATATTTACACCTCGAAATGCCCTTTAAACAGGCCCGGGAAGGCGTGACGCCGCAGTCAGGACCCACTAGACGAGGGACGCTCGATGTGGGGCATCCACGGAAAACTTACTCCTCGGAGAAAATTGGACTCGAGCTGCGGATGTTTGTTTTGATGACGTTCTTGATTGGGGGCCATGGGTCAGGTAAGTGAGCTGGAGCTGCTGTCTGCAAGGCCCAGCTGCATGTGTCTGCTTCAGTGGGGGCTCTAAAGCCCGATGTCGTCCTCACGCCTCCCTTCCAAAGCTCACACAGGTGCACCTTTGAAATATCTCAGTTGATGCACCGGCGTCTCACAGGTAAAAAAAGAGCTAAAGTATCTATAGTGTCCATTTTTGTGAACTTTTTTTTTTTTTTAAAGCTGACCGGTAAGGGGATCTTAACCCTTGACTTGGTGTTGTCAGCACCACGCTCTCCCAAGTGAGCCAAGGGCCGGCCCCATTTTTGTGAACGTTAACTAAAAAATGCATAGTTAAGTGTTATGTGTTACTACATACAAATGGAAATATTATACTTATATCTGTGTGGTAAATGAAATGCCAAAAATACTCTTGACACTTTAGGACCAGGTAGTCTGTGTGTGCAGTGTTGCCTCCAAAAACTCTGGATTGAAATCCAGGCTAACATATGAATAGTGTCCATGATCTTGAGTTAGCTGAATTTATTAGATTCAGTTTTCCATCTGTAAAAAGGGGAGAGTGAGAGTGATAACTGTTCTCAAAATAGTTACAGGATTAAGTGAGATAAATTATGGAAATTGGCCTGCAGTGTCATTCACAGAAGAGTTCAAAGAACTATGTTCTTCACATACTCATTTAAAGACATAATGGGTAGGACCTGAAAAATATATTTGAAAAAGTTTTGGCTAAAGTGTGCAATGAAGATAGGATGTTGGGTCCTGCATTACAAAACTTTATCCAACCACTGGCATCTTCTTTTTTTTTTGTCTTTTTGTCTTTTTTCCGTGTCCGGCAACGGATCGCAACCCTCAGTGTTGCCCCCGTACCGGACCGGGGACCGGCAACGGGATCGCAACCCTCGGTGTTGCTCCCGCGCCTCGCTCAGCCAGTGAGCGGGAACCGGTCTGTATGTGGGATCCGAACCCTCGGGCGGGAGCGCCGCCGCGCCTCCCAAGCGGCGCACTATCCAGTGCGCCACCGGGCCGGCCCACACTGGCATCTTCTAAATGAAAATTTTCACATGACTGAAATAAACATGAAGCTAATCATGTCTGAAGGTATTAAAATCATATCAAGTTGCACTTAGAAACACACAAAAAAACCTTTATTATCTGTGGGTCCAAAAGACATTGCAATGGAAATGAGACAAGTTTTATGTAACTACACAATTCTTTAAAGTCCTATAGAACAACATATATGCAGTACAGCTGAAAGAATATGTAGATATTTATTATCTTAAGTGTTTGGATCAGAAACATAACATAGAAATTAATACACTAGGGATTCCTATTAAAAATTAGCACTTACAAAGGTAATACCATATTTGTAACAATTAAAAGATTTCTCCTGCAGAGTGCCTGTAGGCTTTCCCACACTGCTTACCTTCATAGGGTTCCTTTTCTCTGTGCATTTGCACGTGTACTTGAAGGGATGCAAGATACCTGAAGGCTTTCCCACACTAACTGCATTGATATGGTCTCTCTCCAGTGTGCGTTCTGACATGCACTCGGAGGGATGAGGAACAACTGTAGGCTTTCCCACATTCAATACATTCATAGGGTTTTCCTCCACTGTGTGATCTCACATGTTTTTGAAAATACTGAGGGTGACTGAATGTTTTCCCACACTGCCTACATTCATAAGGTTTTTCTCCACTGTGTGTTCTCATATGTTCTCGAAGGGATGAGTTACAACTGAAGGCTTTCCCACAATGCTTGCATTGAAAAGGTCTCTCTCCAGTGTGTGTTCTCACATGTATTCGAAGGGATGAGGAGAAACTGTAGGCTTTCCCACACTCCTTACATTCGTAGGGTTTCACTCCACTATGTGTTTTCACATGTGTTCTAAAGTAAGTGGGACAACCAAAGGCTTTACCGCATTCCTCACACACATAAGGTTTTTCTCCAGTGTGCATCCTCAGGTGTGTTCGCAAAGATGAGGGATACCTGAAGGCCTTGCCACACTGCTTACATTCATAGGGTTTCTCACCACTGTGTGATCTCCCATGTTCTCGAAGAGATGAGTAACAGGTGAAGGCTTTCCCACAGTGCTTACACTCATATGGTTTCTCTCCGGTGTGGGTTCGCACATGATCTCTAAAGGATGAGTAACAGGTGAAGGCTTTCCCACAGTGCTTACACTCATACGGTTTCTCTCCTGTGTGTGTTCTCACATGTTCTCGAAAGTAGGAGGGACAACTAAAAGCTTTCCCACATTCCTTACACTCATAGGGTTTCTCTCCAGTGTGAGTTCTCACATGTCGCTTAAGGTAGGAGTAATACATAAAGGCTTTCCCACATACATTACATGCATGAATTTTCTGTCCATTGTGACCTCTCATGTGTCCCCTAAAGGATGAGGGGCAAGTGAAAACTTTTCCACATTTCTTACATTCAAAAGACTTTTTACTGCTGAGACTTTTCACATTTCTCTTAGATGCTCTCCCAGAGCCCTGATGTTGATAGGGTTTGTCTACAATGTGAGTTTCCACAGCAGGGCTTAGGCATGAGACACAGCTGCAGGCTTGCCCACATTCCTCACACTGATACGCTGTGTATCCAGCGTGAGAACTTTGCTGACTCTTGAAGGCTTTGCCACACCTAGTGCATTCACAGGGTTTCACTCCAGCAGGATAACTATTTTGCACAGTGAGACTTGCAGTCTGGCTCAGGGCTTCTCCACATTGATGACCTTCATTACTTTCTCGGAGGCTCTCCACCAAAGCACATCTACTCAAAATAGGAAGCATAGTATGAGTCATTAATGTTTATAAGTGATTTATATGTCAATGATTTATTAGTGGTTACTAATGATTATTTTGACTAAATATTGTCCATTTTCAGAGTATTATCAACACTGTGTTGGGGCCGGCCCTGTGATGCACTCGGGAGAGTGCAGTGCCGCTCCTGCCGTGGGTTCGGATCCTATATAGGAATGGCCGGTGCACTCACTGGCTGAGCACCGGTCACGAAAAAGACAAAAAAAAAAATAAAACAAAACACTGTGTTGTTTTCATGTGCAATAATAAGCTTAATGCTCTGGCCAACGGCTCAGCTACAGACATAACTTTTGCAGTGTTTTTTATGTGTGGGCTTTCCTGAGATTGTTTCCAGCTGAATTGTTTCAGACAATCAATATTGACATCACATTTACAATTTATTTTTTTAAAAATTGTTTTTTGAAAATTCTCTGTGAGTACACAATCGTTTAGCCAGGTTTCTGCTTTATCGTTAATTTGAATTAGTCTAACACTCTGCTGAGACAGTCATTCCTCTAGTTGAGTGCCACTCACCTCAAATGCTTCTTTGGGGTTCGGTGCTGATCTCCAATGTTATGAAATGCCCAGTTTTCTCCAAAAACAGACCAGGAATCATTTCTTGTGAATTTTACTATTTTCTCTTCATTGGATATTTCATTCCCAAAAATATCCCGCTGAGAACTTGATCCACTGGTTTTAACTTGAATACAACAATCTGCAACAATTGGTAATTCAATTTAATTTCTTGAGGGGAAAATGGTGGAATAAGGGGGAAAAAATAGGCCACATGTAGATTTCTTTTCATTTACTGATCCAAAACTGTAACCACATTTTATAAGGAAGAATTGATATGTGAGCAAAGAAAGACTCTGAGGACTCATCTCTTTGGGACTCTGGCAGTAACAGAGAACATGGATCAAGATGGCAGCCTGTTTCCTAAGAACTGGTTTCACACAGGTGGAGACCAATGTTGAGACAAATAGAATGTTATCAGAAAAGCAAAACAGGAAGTGGGCAAAATGCACATGCCTAATACTACCTTTGATGACCAGTAAGGGGATCTTAACCCTTGACTTGGTGTTGTCAGCACCACGCTCTCTCAAGTGAGCCACAGGCCAGCCCTAATATTACCGTAAAAAGAGAAAATGCAGGAAGCCTCCCTCTAAGAAGGAGCATGGGAGAGGATGAAGGAAAAGCCAATCGGGAACCACAGGAAATGACAAACGTCCCCTTTCTCAAACAGAAAAAAATGTATGTTTCTACCTGATATTTCCAAATACAATTCCCTCATCCAAAACCTGTTCCTGGGCTGGCTTGGCTAGCTCAGTTGGTTAGAGCATGGTGTCGTAACTCTAAGATCAAGGGTTTGGATCACTGTACCGGGCAGCTGCCAAGAAACAAAAACAAAAAAACTGTCTCTCCTGGGGGTTATTGCTCTCGTGCTTGCATGAACAGAGGCCAGAAATGGATCTTTTCTTCACGGTCCCCAGCTGCCAATTGCAGATTCTGAGTGGCTGTTGCCTTCTCATGGAGAAAAGCACATGAGGAGGAAGGATGGTGAAAGACGACAAACATTTCCATGAGATAGGCCAGTACTCTGGTCTTCAAGGTCACAACAATGGATAAGGTTGAGTTTCATTGTAGCAAAATTACCATCTCAGATGTGGACTCATCACAGTGTAATGTTTACAGGGGTGAACATACAAAACTGCTTTTATTGCCCCAGAATGAGGATGGAGAATATTCTCACACTTATAAAACTTAGGGAGCCTCAAGACTGGTAACCTAGGAAAATATAAAGTCAACTTAATACATAAAACTTTGTTTTCATGGAGAAGACTTTTGACTCCATATTCCATGAGGGCTGGGACCATGGCCCTCTCTTTTCCAACATATTCCCATTTCTTAGCCCAGATTTTAAAAGGACAAGATATATTTGTTTCCTAGAGACACAGTAAAGGAATAAAGCCATCCTTACCTAATGAGGCCAGGTTCCTGCAGATTTCCAGCATCACATCTCGGTAGAGGTTCCTCTGAGCAGAATCCAGCAAAGCCCACTCTTCTGGGGTAAAGTTCACAGCCACTTCCTCAAAGACCACTGAGTCCTGAAACATCCCACATATTCTATTTCAGCAAAGCACCATCTCCCCCATGTGCAGGAGTACGAGTGAAGCTGATGGTCTGGGGCACTGGACTCAACTCACAGGAACCCTGAGCATGCTCATGCAGGGGACGACAATAGCGAGCCGAACCTGCGACACACCTGGTGGCAGTCAGTGCTTTGGAAACACGAAGCAACATGCAACAGCAACAACTGCTGCCGACTTACACAGCCACCAAGACAGGGCAGACGCTGGGGCAGGGTGAAGACGGAAAAATGGAGTCGTCATTTCAGGTAACACAGAAATTGATGTGTGGCTTGCTCAAAACTTATTATTCCTACAGAGCTTCAAGAACCAGAACAAGAATATGAAGAGGTTGCAAACACGTAGGGAAGATTTCTGATGCTGCTTGACTGGAACAGCTCTTGCCTTAGAGGATAGCAGAGTCCATGAGTCTGGTCTAGTCCCATCACACTCAACAGAGCACAGACCTGGTCTCCTCCTAGGATGATGTGGACACTGTGGATACAGACGTAGACCAGGGCCCTGGGTTCCCCCCAACACCTGCTGGGTGAGAATAGTGCCTGGTTCCTGAAGAGTCTGTCAAGCCAGCAGGGCCTCTCAAATAAATAACCCAATGCCTGGGATTAGAGTGAGGTGCCGCCAAAAAAAGAGCTGCTGAAAAATCTGATAGGAAAAGAGCCGCAAGTGACTATTAACAGAATAACATGCACCTGATTAGTACCTTTTGAGAAATATGGGAGGACACCACACTCACAAAGAGAACAATTATGAAAAATAAGAGATCAGCTAAACAAAAAAATAGGTTCTTGAAATCTAGAGAAGGGCCAACCTTGTGGCGCACTCGGGAGAGTGCGGCGCTGGGAGCGCAGCGACGCTCCTGCCGTGGGTTTGGATCCTATATAGGGATGTCCGGTGCGCTCACTGGCTGAGCGCGGTGTGGACGACATCAAGCCAAGGGTTGCGATCCCCTTACCGGTCACAAAAAAGACAAAAAAAAAAAAAAGAAATCTAGAGAAAACAAATTTCAACTACAGTTGGTCAGCTACAAAGTAGCCAGTGCTCTTTCAGCTGAAGTCTCACCAGCCTAGGCAGCTTATACCATCCCTAATCTCCCCAGAAGGTCCCCTTATCTGAGTATTTTCTTGTCCTCTTGGTGTGTCTGTAGCACCATCAGTCTTGAAATCCAAACCCATTTTGGGTGGGGGGTTGATACTTTTTCCAAGAAGGCAACCATAAAATAAAAGGAACCCATGGCAAAGGTTTTTGGGTGAGGAAAAGGACTTCAGTTTGGAAATTTTTTTAAAAAGATGAGACATTTAGGGCTGGCCTGTGGCTCACTCAGTAGAGTGCGGTGCTGATAACACCAAGGCCACGGGTTCGGATTCCATATAGGGATGGCCGGTTCGCTCACTGGGTGAGCGTGGTGCTGAGAACACCAAGTCGAGGGTTAAGATCCCCTTACCCGTCATCTTTTTTAAAAAAAAAAAAAAGATGAGACATTTAAATGCATAAGATACATGTGGAACAATGTTTCTGCTGCCAATTGATCACTGGCAGTAGAATCAATACATGAAAATGGTATATAAACTACCATTCCATACAAGATTAATATAACTTAAAAAACAAACAAACAAAAAACCTGAGCCAGCCATTTAGCTCAGCCCATTACAGGGTGGTGCTGATAACACCAAGGTCAAGGGTTCAGATCCCCTTACCAGCCAGCCACCAAAAAAACAACCTAACATACAATATGATGCCATCTGTATATAAAATAAGCATGCAAAAATATATTGACAGGCATGAATCTACAAGTGATAAAAATATGAAGAAAAGCAAGAAAAATATCTCCTAATATTGGATACGGGGCTCAACTGGAGAGAGGAGCCTGCCATTCTGCATCATTTCAAATAGGATGTCCAGTACAAAGGCTTCTTCCAAGACTTGGTCTGGTTTTCATTACACGATGTTCACTTAAAAATATTTCAGTTGACTGTGCAATTGTCTTAGGAAAATTCTACAACTGTTATACTTTACAATGAAACTCTATGAACTCAACTCATCCAATATCATTGATCACAATACCACCTTACAGAAGAAATATGCCAAGTCATCTTAATAGATTCCAGAAACAAGCAGTTTATCCTATTTGACAACCATGCACATCTAAAAATCTTAGCAATTTCAATAGGTGGAAACCTGCATAGTCTGCTGAAGGGCCTACTGCAATGCAAAGTGGTGTTCATCAAAGCACATATAAATGATACAAAGCACAATAGCTTCCCAGCAAAACTAGCTACAACAAGAACTCCCATTCCCTCACTCCTGGTAACCATCATACTAAAGATGCCATCCAGAACCACCAGCGGGGAGGAAAAAGAGTTTAACAGAAGGGAAAATTTGCTCTTATGCGTAGCTCAAATGACTGTATATGTAAGAATAAAAAGAATATGAAGATAATCATAGAATCAGGTTTTCAGTCATTTCCAGAATGCAAATTCAATATAAAAATTAACCTTAATGCATTTTCAATTATTAGAAACAAGCAGTTGAAAAGTAATCTTTTAATAGACAACACAGATTTTTAAAACTGTCATTACAACTTATTTTCCTTCAGTTCTAAAACAGTGTAGAGCAAAATGTAAAATGATCATAATAGAAAAATTACAAAATGTGATTGAATGGCATCAAAGTTGAATGAAATAGATGGAGAAATAGCTCGTGTTCTCAGGAAAGAGACTCAACAACATCATGATGGCAGCTCTCCCAAATACACCACGAGTTTTAATAAAATTTCATTAAGTCTACAACCAGGTTTGCCTTTTCTTTTCTTTTTTTTTTTTAGGTTTTGTTTGAACTTAAGAAAAATTCCTTCTAAAAACTGAAATAGGGGCTGGCCTATGGCTCACTTGGGAGAGCGTGGTGCTGACAACACCAAGTCAAGGGTTAAGATCCCCTCACCAGTTATCTTTAAAAAAAATAACTGAAATAGAAGACAAATTTCTGACAATATCAAAGATTTTCTACAGAACAAGGTAGTGGCACTTCCCCTAACACACTTCAAGGCTTGTAACACTACAGTAATTAACAAGATGTCATTAGCAGAGGGATGATAAATAGACTGATGGAGGAAAACAGAAAGCCATTCAACAGGCCCATGTGTTTTTGGCTAGCGGATCTATGACAGCTGGGTAGTGCTGGGTAGTAGTAAGCATGGTGGACACTGTGGCATGTGGGCAGTGACAACTGCTTAGCTACGTGGCAATAATGGATTTTCTCATCAATTCCATGTAAAAGAAAAAGTTTGTTGCAGATTTAACTGTGATAGAAAAAAGTAGAACACTGTCAGAAGAAGGTACAGGAAACTGTCTTCATGACTTCAGAGTAGGAAGAGTGTTCTTATATAAGTAAAAAAAGACTAAGATGGGGCCGGCCCGGTGGTGCACTGGAGAGTGCACCGCTTGGGAGTGCGGTGGGGCTCCCGCCGAGGGTTCGGATCCCATGTGGAGACCGGTTCCCGCTCACTGGCTGAGCGCGGTGCGGGCGCGACACCGAGGGTTGCGATCCCGTTACCGGTCAGTAAAAAAGACAAAAAGGAAAAAAAAAAAAAAGGCTAAGATGGAAAGGAAGATTGAGTAATTCACCTGTATTAAAATTAAGAAGAGTCCATTAAAAGGGCCAGCCCGTGGCTCACTTGGGAGAGCGTGGTGCTGACAACACCAAGTCAAGGGTTAAGATCCCCTTACCAGTCATCTTAAAAAAAAAAAAAGAAGAGTTCATTAAAGTGTAGAATAAAGGAGAGCTGGCTGGTTAGCTCAGTGGGTTAGAGCATGGTGTTGATAACACCACAGTCCGGGGTTCGATCCCTCTCACAGGCCAGCTGCCAAAAATAAAAATAAATTAAGTATAAAATAAAGGGAGAAAAATGATAAACCACTCTCTGGGGGGAAGATTTGCAATTCCTACAAATGAAAAAGGATGCGCGTCCAGAGTATATAAAGAAAACAGAAGAAATTAATAAACATACCGATAAATTAAAGGTGAGAAAATGCCTAAAAACTATTTCCAGAAGATGAAACACCACATGTGAAAAACAGTCAACCTGAGTAATTATCAGCAAAAAGCAACATATAAATCACAAGGAGATCCCATTTCATACAAACTGGATGGGCAAAAATGAACTTAGATGATGCCAAGTGTTAAAAGTGATTAGAATAAATAATAAAATTTTAAAAAACAAACGAAAAGTGACGAGGAGTAAACTCATGTGCAGCAGTAGGACAATCGATTTGTGCACTCCATCGGCCACCCCTCGTAATTTAAATTTCTCCATAATCTGCATAAAACCAGCAGTCTTTCTACGAGCTGCACAGCATTTATGGTGTATAAGCACCCGGACACAAAAACAAGAATGACTGGGGCAGTATCGCCGACGAAAGCAAAAACTAAACTCGAAACCACCCAAGGCCACAGCTCTGGAGAGGATGAGCAGACCAGGAGACCCGCAGCCTCAGAGCCCAGCACGTGGGGAACAGACAAAGGCAAAGACACCACAGCAGAGCCCGTCAGCAGGGTAGGAATTGATTTACTGGAAATCCACTTACTGACAGTTCCAAAGAGGCAAAGACACAAAACACTGGTGATGTAATGCTGCAAGGAATAACAAAAAGGGTCTGAATGGTGGTCGCCGGGGACAGCAGGAAGATGAGGGAAGCATCGGGAGAAACTAGCAGCTCACTCGATGCACTCAGGTTTTCAACCCAGCGAGTAGAAATCTTACACCGTCAGAGAATGGGACAAAAGTCTGGAGTGCAGGCGCACACTGCAGCGACAGGGAAGCAAGAGTGTATAAAGGAAACAGGAAAGAGCAGAACCATGTGCCCAACTCAGGTCAGCAGCCCGCTTCACCACCGTGCACAGGAAACCCCAGGTCAGAAGGTTAACCCGCTCCCAGGCTTTGGGGACAGAGTCTCCCTGCTGAGATGGGGCCACTCCTAGAGAAAGAGTGAGGGACCCTGAGCACCCAGGGGTCCTCTCTCCGGTTGCTCCCCACGCCCTCCTCTCCCTTGTCTAGCACTTCAGTTCTCGACAGCCAGGAAACTCCCAGCTGGATTCCACTGAAGTTCTGACCCAAACATCTGCCAAATTCCTAAATCCTTTCAACATCAGTGAGCCCAGGGGATCTTTCCCTAAGTCTGACCTTCACAGAATTTCTGAGTTTGCAGAAATTACGCTCTGACTGCACCAACTCTGTGTCTGCCCAAACCAGACCCTCAGGAAACAACAGCCCCAGGGCTACCCCACTTACAGTCTCAGGAGGGACAACACGCCCCCAAGCACATCTGCCCCAGGATCCCCGCCTCCCCCATGCTCTGAAGCTCTCTCAACATAAGCAGTTCCTTCTGTGGTTGAGTGTCTGGAGACCCCTGCACGGAAGGCTGCCCAGGAAGACCCACCGTACTTTCATTAACCTCCTTTGGAGGTTCAACTGTGGACTTAGAATCACTGGGCTCAGACCCCTGCTCTCCACTGCAGGTGCTACACCTGCCGCATGCCAAAGTCCCACACACCCACTGTCTGAATAAGACTGTAGCAGAATCACTATTTTCACCCTGTGTTCAAGGATAAAAGGGGGAAGGCATATTCTAGGGGACTTTTTATCCCACCAAGGACTCTTTCCAGAAAACAGGTATCAGTTAACTACTGTCTTCATGATAAACAAATTGTATATCGACTAATCAGTTTGAACACTTGTCAGTACTATGGGTCACATTTTACGGAATGTACACTAATCACTGATGCCCAGATATTAACAGGAAATGGAACGGGATCACACACTGTCACAAACTCTGCACCCTCCATAAGTCATTATTACTCTTTGTATGAATCTTCTCAGTCTGTGTCATCACCCACTTCCCAGTAAGGTGTGAAGTTCTGAGTGTCCCTCTCCCATTCGAAGGGAAGAGAGAATATTTTCTGTATCTGAGACACTTTTCCACAGCAGCATTCTCAGGCTAAGCCCCAGAATGACACCAGTCAGCAGCAAGCAGCAAAGAACATAGTTGAGGAACTCACTAAGAGTTCATTATTCTACACTGGCTGGGGCCTGAGGCTGGAACTGGAAAAGAGCTGGAGACAGATGTTGGTGGTCGCAGCCGTCAGGTGACAATGCTGAATTTTACTTGAGCCCTGTGCTCCTTGGAAAACAGCCGAGGTGCAAGAATCCCCCACCGTTCTATGTTCTAGAAGGGGAAACTGTAAGGACTCGCCCCTTCCCATATGACCTAGGCAGGATACACCGATGCCCCTTGCTTGCCCAAGACAAGGCCAGACCCGGACCCTGCAAACTCCCGTTCTTCGCCTGTCCCCGCTGCTCACTCAGATCAAAACGTTTGATGGTTAAACTTTGCGTTAAGCTTCTTTCCTTCCTCCAGATCCCCGCATACTCGCACCCTGAGCCAGGAGGCAGCTCCTCTTTGATGGCCTGTCCTGAGAACAGGCTGGCATCAGGGTAAAACACGCTCCGATCGGCTCACATCCACCGTCCGACCGTGCCAGCCTTTCCTCCCACTTCCCGACACCTGACTCTTTCTAGTCTTGTTTACCCCTCCCCATAAAAGAAAAGCTCCTCTCACCCAGCTCCTCAGAAGCTGCAGACCTTATGGTCCGAGCGTTGTCCTGGTGCAACAGTCCCCCTGCCCTACGGCTTCAGTTCCCCAACTGTATTGCGACAGTCCCGTCTCCCCTACTCCCCATTCCCTGCAGTAAACCTTTTGAATAAAAGCACGGGCTTGACCAAGGGTCAGGGTCCCATTTCTTAACCCACCTTATTCAGGCTTCTGTGCTGTCCACAGGGCCCAGAACTTTGGGTCGCCCCCCTCCCTCAGTCTGCTCAGCCACTAAAATGGGGAAGGAGCCATTGTCACCTGACCGCGCACGGGCCGCTCACGGGGAGGGTCCACTTCCTGTCAATGCCGTCCTGGTCGTCCAGCGTCCCCTTCGCAGCGGCTGCTCCTCCGCACGGATAGAAACGGAGGGCCCTTTCCCGTGTGACCCGAGACGCTCAGTGACCTCCGACACTGCAACGTGGCCTCCAGCGCTAGAGCCGTTTTCAGTAAAGGCTCCCCTTCTCCAAGTGCGAACCCTTCCTCAGCCGTCCCCCCGCCCCCACCCCGGCCGCTGTGACAGTGTCGCCCGCGGGCCCAGGGGCTCGCGCCGCCGCCGCCGCCCGCTCCTGGGTCGTCCCCGCAGGCCGTGGACTCGGGCTCCCGCCCCCCCGCGCGCTCACCATGTCCGGCCCCGCTCCCGGCTCTCAGGGGCGTCCTCCCCGCGGGCCGCGGCTGCTGAAGGTGCGAGTAACGGGGCCGCGTACGCGAGGGGAGGCGGGACGCGCAGGCCACACCCCTGGGACTCCTATTGGATGGTGCTTCAGGCCCTGCCCACCCGCGAGCTCTGATTGGACAGAACTGACGTAGGCGTTGCCGATTGGACAGATTGGCTTCCCCGAGGATCCCGATTGAACAGTTCACCCGGACTCCGCCCCCTGCAGCCTGAGTGACAGGCGCATCGCGAACAAGCATGGCTGACTCCCCCCGACGGGGACTTTCGCGTCTGCGCAGAACTCGCTTTGGCCCCGGGGCGGCCCCTCCTGCGTCCTCCTCCTCGAGGCGGGGACGCAGGTGTGCGCGGGAATTCAAGACTCAGTTTCCCCACCTGGCGACCCCTTGTCCTGGGCAGGAGAGACAGGAGGGTCTTGGCCCTGCAGGGTCGGGGTGGCCCGGGCTGAGTCCCCGTGATCTGAGCTCTTTCTTCAAGAACAAGACCCTTCACAGTGACGTCACCGCGAGGCTTGACCCCAGGAGGCCGGGGCCTCGGCGACCTTTGCCCCGGGGCACGGGGCAGGACACTAGTGCACGTGACGTGTTCTGTAAAATTCGCAGGTTCACATGTGACACTGCAAGGAAATGAGTCCTGTTCCTGAGTGTGTCCCCAGAGAATTTTAAACTGTAAAAAGCTGTGATATCCCTAAGGCAGGATAATTATTTCGACTGATTTAAGAAAAATAATAGGGTCGGCCCGTGGCTCACCCGGGAGAGCGTGGTGCGGACGACACCAAGTCAAGGGTTGAGATCCCCTTACCGGTCCAAAAAGAAAAATAAAAAAAAACAAAAGGAAAAATAATAAAAGCTTATTTTTATTATTATTATTTTAAGATGACCAGGGGGCCGACCCGGTGGCGCACTGCTACAGTGCGCCGCTTGCGAGCGTGGCGGCGCTCCCGCCCAGGGTTCGGATCCCACATACAGACCGGTTCCCCCTCACTGGCTGAGCGAGGTGCAGGAGCAACACCGAGGGTTGCGATCCGTTGCCGGACACGAAAAAAGACAAAAAGGAAAAAAAAAAAAAAAGATGACCAGTAAGGGGATCTTAACCCTTGGCTTGGTGTTGTCAGCACCACACTCTCTTAAATGAGCTAACCGGCCATCCCTATATGGGATCCGAACCCCTGGCCTTGGTGTTATCAGCACCACACTCTCCCGAGTGAGCCACGGGCCGGCCCAACCTGAAAACTCTTAATAAATTCAGCCAAAACACCTAAAGCATTTAACATGACTGCTCATCTCAGAAACTATCTTCCAGCTTGAGATAAAGTAGAAGTATAAACTGGCCATTTTACTTAAAAACAACTCTTTCATGGTTTGTGAAAAGGTTATATACACTTTCATAAAAACTAGGGTTTAGGGGAACAAATCGTAGAATGGTTTCCTATGTAGAAAGGTGACCTCCAATTAAAAGTAACCTTTGATTTATAAACTATTAAAAAATATAGTCTGTTTTGTTTTTGCTTTTTTTTTGTAAATTGGTAATATCACTTTCCAAAAGTTCTGCCTGAGATTCAGAAGTCTGCCTAAGACTTGCCTTAGCATGGCCTTCTGCACCGGTCTGCTTACCCCAGTCCTCCCCTCATTACCAACTGCGTTAATTTCTTGTAGATCTGGTCAGCATTTCTTTTGTAAAAAGAAGCCATTTGAACCACATATTTTGTTTTTCCCCTTTTGTTATAAAAAAGTAACACAGTGTGCACATTGCAATATAATTGGCTTTTTCAGTTCAATTAAAAATCTGAGTTGGCCGGTTAGCTCAGTTGGTTAGAGTGCAGCCTTATAAAATTATGGTCACTGGTTTGGATGCCCATGCTGGCCAGCCACCAAAAAAAAAAAAAAAAAAGGAAAGAAAAAGAAAAGAAAAGAAAAGAAATGATAACACCAAGGCCCAGGGTTCAATCAGCTGCCAGAAATAAATACACAAATAAATCCTACAACTGTCTTCATCTCAACAGGTGACTTTCTTACTCTTTATAAAGGTGTGTGACATAAGTTGATGTAACCACTTCTCTCTAAATAGACACTGGACTTGTTTCCAATCTTTTGCTACTCAAATCTTTCCCTATGTTGGGGAAATATCATTAAAGCAAAATCTCTGTACACCAAGGTGAAGAGTTTGGATCCTTGCACTGTCTAGCTGCCAAAAAAACGCCAACTCTGGCCCACCCAGAAAGCCTCTCCAAAAAGGCAGAAGAGAAAGAAAACAATTCTATTTTATTTATTTATTTATTTTTAAAAGATGACCAGTAAGGGGATCTCAACCCTTGACTTGGTGCTGTCGAACCACGGTCAGCCAGTGAGCGAACCGGCCATCCCTCTATGGGATCCGAACCCATGGCCTTGGTGTTATCAGCACCGCACTCTCCCGAGTAAGCCATGGGCGGGCCCGAAAACAATTTTATTGTTGAATAAACGTTAAACCAGAATATGATGTGCATCACAGGCAATCCTCTAAGAGACAGCAAAGTCAGAAAGAAAGCTCATCCTTTATAGCAGATACCACCCTTATGTGTTCTCAAGATAATCAGTAGTCCTCAAGGAACAGGATTGAGAGCACCATTGGTTACACATAGTTTATCCTAAATCCGCCTGGTAATTGGGTGAGCACCCAGCTAATTGGATTTAGTTTTGCAACTTGGAGAGAGGCTCCTACCCCCCCAACAGAAACTGGGACACAGGGCTCTATCTTCCTTGATAATTATATTTTAAAAAGATGGACCCAGTCCTAGGTGATAAAGCTAGCGAAAAAAAGCCTTATTTAGCTTTTAAAGAGAATTACATACATTTCAAAGGACAGAGAAAGAATTTATCATAAGTTTTTTTTTAAAGAAAATGCTGTAAGGGCCGGCCTGTGGCTCACTCAGGAGAGTGCGGTGCTGATAATACCAAGGCCCCGGGTTCAGATCCCACATACGGATGGCCGGTTTGCTCACTTGGGAGAGCGTGGTGCTGACAACACCAAGTCAAGGGTTGAGATCCCCTTACCGGTCATCTTTAAAGAAAAAAAAGAAAATGCTGTAAGAAAAAGTAGGAGAGAGATCTTCTTGCCTTATTTACAACAGGGATCATTTTATTTGCCCTTATAAAGGAAAAAAAAAAAAAAAAGGAAATATCAATGGACCCAGCATAAAAGTCTTCAGAACCCCTTTCTGAACAAAGACTGAAGTCAAAACTGGGGAGGTGGTCACATCACATGGGAAGATAATATTTGAAACTTGTATATTTTTTCATGCTTAAATAATTCTTTAAACTTTTATTGCAAAGTATGTTCTACTCAGAAAAGAATGCACTAACTGTTTGGTGTTAAGTTTAAGGGACACATTTGTATGAAATTCTACAGACCGGGCACACCCATTCAGGACAGACGTGGGCAGTTCTTAGTTTCCCTGGGTGCCCCACCCTGGTCTCATCTCCCTCCAGCACCTAGATTCTTTCAAATTTTACCATCTGTTGTTTATCACCAAGCAGTGTTTGGTTTAATTTGGCCACTTTTGAAATTTCAGTAAATGAGTATTACTGGAATGACACGGAAAAGGCTTTTTTGTGATGTCTCTGCCTCGGTCTGTTTTATACATCCTGGTGTCTGAGTCAGTGGGTGGCCCAATTAACTCATTCACTCCCCTGCTCATGAGACATACGTTGATTCAACTGTACTCTTTGCTCTTCTAGACATGCTGGTACAATCATTCTTGTGTTTATCTCCACGTGCAAATGCACTACAAATTTTCTACACATTGGAGAAAATTGCTTGGTGGTAAATTATGAATGTTTAAGTTTACTATGAAATGCCCATGCTGCTCATGAACTGACCCTGCTACCAGTGTCCGTATGTGTTTGTTGATTCCCTGCGATTGCCAGCGCTGGAATGATCTATTTGATTAATTTTTGCCTTTCTAGGGCCGGCCCGTGGCTCACTCGGTAGAGTGCGGTGCTGATAACACCAAGGCCATGGGTTCGGATCCCATTTAGGGATGGCCGGTTCGCTCACTGGGTGAGCGTGGTGCTGACAACACCAAGTTAAGGGTTAAGATCCCCTTACCGGTCATCTTTAAAAAAAAAAATTTTTTTTTGCCTTTCTAGTGTGCGTGAAAGGGGTCCCCCTCATGCTTCTATGTTGCTTTTCATTGATTACCGTTAAGGCTGAGCATTTTTCATATACGATCTTCCTTTTTCTGTGAAATCATTTTCAGTCACTTTTTATACTTTGCTTACATACTCTGGACACTGGTCGTTTTTCATGTGTAGATTTGTGCAAATATCAGATAATGATTTATCTTTTCCCTTCTTTATTCTACACTTTGATGGTCTGTTCCTATTTTTTTTTTTTTTTTTTGGTGGCTGGCGGGAACAAGGATCGAACCCTGGACATTAGTGTTATCACACCGGGCTCCAACCAACTGTGCTAGCTGGCCAGCCTGAGACTGACTTGTTTCACTCTGCACAATGCAAATATCATCCGCGTGGTGACATGTCTCATTGGGTGGTACCCATTGGGTGGTGTCACTCTGTGCTGCTGTAACAAAATGCCACAGAATGGGTAATTTATAAAGAACAGATATTTATTTCGTCACAGTTCTGGAGGCTGGAAAGTCCAAGATCAAGGCACTGGTAGGTTTGGTGTCCGGTGAAGGCCCATCTTTCTGCTTCCAAGATGATGCCTTGTTGCTGTATCTTCCAGAAGTGACAAACACTGTGTCATCATGTGACGGGACAATGAACGTCACTCCAGCAATTTTATAAGGTCACTAATCCCATTCATGAGGGCTCTGCTCTCATGACTTAATCACCTCCTAAAGGCCCCGCCTCAATATGAATGGCAACTAAGTATCGATATGTGATTGGGGGACGGGACCCACTTATACCACAGGAGGTGGTAGCACCACAGTGTTTCTCTCCATTCACCTTTTGAAGGACATTTGGATT